ATATCATTGTTCCTCAAAAGAAATGTTTCATATTAAGTAGTCATGCATTGTATATCATTGTATCCTGCGCACGGTATGATGATTGTTGTATCATAGCACTATGGGCCATGAGGCCTCAAATGCAAATAAAACTTGTCACTTGTCACTTGTCAATATGGCAGGCATAGTCAATGCAGCTGTAACAATACTCACTCACTCACTCGCCATACTCACAACACGGGTTAGTAAGTCACTCAGTCACTCGACTGCTATATTCGATATACTCACCAAACTCACAACACTAGCAATACACCCTCACTCACCAAACTCACAACACTAGCAATACACCCTCACTCACCAAACTCACGACACTAGCAATACACCCTCACTCACCAAACTCACAACACTGGCAATACACCCTCACTCACCAAACTCACGACACTAGCAATACACCTGCGACACGAAAGAAACCTCACTCACCATACTTATCACACCCATTTCACGTATGAAACAAGTCAACTATATACTGTTCTGAACGCTTTGTTGATGCCTTTAATCGTAACGATAAGTAAACAAGCACATATATTGATCCAGTGCAATAGTTATGGCTGTAAGCACCAATACAGTCAGGCATAAGCCCAGGTTAAACTATCAAGTATACTTCACAACATAGACATATGATGTATTACAAGATTCCGAACACCGGTGCTTATGAAAATTCTATTCATGCGTGATCAACACCGCCTCTGAGATGATATTTGCCCACACGACATGGATGCTGCATTTCGCCGTGCAGAGTTGCGTCCCTTAGACGTGACAGAAACCGGCGATCGTGGGTTCGGATTTTAGATTTGACCGGATTATGTTTTTGCCCGTGATTCTATTACAGGGATTTTTCAAAGTCATTTAGGACTTTCCATTCACATTGAGCCATTACTGCAATTACATGCTATCACATGCTATTATACATGCTATCACATGCTATTATACATGCTATCACATGCTATTATACATGCTATCACATGCTATTATACATGCTATCACATGCTATTATACATGCTATCACATGCTATTATACATGCTATCACATGCTATTATACATGCTATCACATGCTATTATACATGCTATCACATGCTATTATACATGCTATCACATGCTATTATACATGCTATTCACATGCTATTATACATGCTATCACATGCTATTATACATGCTATCACATGCTATTATACATGCTATCACATGCTATTATACATGCTATCACATGCTATTATACATGCTATATACATGCTATATTATACATGCTATCACATGCTATTATACATGCTATCACATGCTATTATACATGCTATCACATGCTATTATACATGCTATCACATGCTATTATACATGCTATCACATGCTATTATACATGCTATCACATGCTATTATACATGCTATCACATGCTATTATACATGCTATCACATGCTATATACATGCTATCACATGCTATTATACATGCTATCACATGCTATTATACATGCTATCACATGCTATTATACATGCTATCACATGCTATTATACATGCTATCACATGCTATTATACATGCTATCACATGCTATTATACATGCTATCATGCTATTATACATGCTATCACATGCTATTATACATGCTATCACATGCTATTATACATGCTATCACATGCTATTATACATGCTATCACATGCTATTATACATGCTATCATGCTATTATATTATACATGCTATTATACATGCTATTATACATGCTATCACATGCTATTATACATATCACATGCTATTATACATGCTATCACATGCTATATACATGCTATCACATGCTACATGCTATTATACATGCTATCACATGCTATTATACATGCTATCACATGCATGCTATATTATACATGCTATCACATGCTATTATACATGCTATCACATGCTATTATACATGCTATCACATGCTATTATACATGCTATCACATGCTATTATACATGCTATCACATGCTATTATACATGCTATCACATGCTATTATACATGCTATCACATGCTATTATACATGCTATCACATGCTATTATACATGCTATCACATGCTATTATACATGCTATCACATGCTATTATACATGCTATCACATGCTATTATACATGCTATCACATGCTATTATACATGCTATCACATGCTATTATACATGCTATCACATGCTATTATACATGCTATCACATGCTATTATACATGCTATCACATGCTATTACTGCAATACTGCTCAAAGCGGGTCTAAATCCAACTAACTCTCTCATCTCATAGCATTTTTGTCAAGCAGCTGGTTTGATATGTTGAAAATTCATAAAATGCCACATTTCCGTAAGTAAGGACTGACCACATGTGCTGTTTAGATTGTGTTCAACAGAAAAATATATCTCTGGTGACATTTCAAATATGACAAACACTTTACTATATGAAAGACCTATTAGTTTCCATAGAATGTACCTGGGATATGGGGATATTCTGTAAAAAGCCAATGCCTAGAGATTATTTAAAGAAAACAGGGCCCCGCGAAAACAATACTAGGACGGCACAATTGCACAGACACACACACGCACATACACGGCGCTGTAGAATCTTGAACACGACGTTAAATCGCATTTCTCCTTGCTTTACCTGATTCTGAATGTGCAACTACCTGTATTTTAGGTTTGCTTCATATACTTGGTCCCAAAACGACGTTAGGTTTGAAGGGAGATAACTCCTGTAGAGGTCCTTGAAATCATATTTTCAGTCGGAAAAAATAGCATTTGGTCAGAAAAGTGATAGCTGTAGGGATAGTTAAAAAACAATACGCTATGCTATTCATCGGCAAGTATTTCCTTTCATTATTTCTGGAAACAGCTAAATGGGCGTCTAATGTATGTTTTAATGATATACACAACGGACTAAGTAGAACAAATGCATCCATTTCTATTTATTACATACGACTGACTGACTGAGTTTGGTTTTACGCCGCTTTTAGCAATATTCCAGCAATATCACGGCGGGGGACACCAGAAATTATTACATACGACACCAACTCAACATTAATCATGTCGTTAAGTGGAGGCATATGGTGAAGTAATATTTACGTCACTTCTTAGTCCGTGTGTATTTAAAAGCAAATCAGAGGTGAATTTGTAGCAAGGAGAATTTTCCTGTCCCAATTTTATGTTTTGATTGATTCGACACTGCCATTAATATTGACAAAAAAGCAAACTCTAACGTCCTTTTCAACGCGTAAAATAAATGTTTTAATCATCGTTCGTTCCTGTTAAAGCTATACTTATGGGTTTATGAGTTCCTCCCTGTAAGGGGACGGTCGGGTAGCCTAGTGGTTAAAGCGTTGGCTCGTCAGGCCGATGATCCGGGTTCGAATCCCCACATGGGTACAATGTGTGAAGCCCATTTCTGGTGTTCCCCGCCGTGATGTTGCTGGAATATTGCTAAAGTCGGCGTAAAACCAAACTTAGTCAGTCAGTCCTCCCTGTAAGAAGATGAGAGCAGGGTTGTAGGGATTGTTCCCTTGTCTAATGCTCCGCACTTTGTTCTGTTAAATTATGGTCTGCCCAACAGTCCGAAGATCCGGGTTAGAATATTGATCTTCAGTAACCGATGCTTGTTGTAAGAGGCGACTAACGGGATCGGGTGGTCAGGCTCGCTGACTTGGTTGACACATGTCATCGGTTCCCAATTGCGCAGATCGATGCTCATGCTGTTGATCACTGGGTTGTCTGGTCCAGACTCGTTTATTTACAGACCCCCGTCATATAGCTGGAATATTGCTGAGTGCGGCGTTAAACATCCAGCCAAACCCTATCCTACCTCCACCCATCCCTCCCTGCAACGCTAAAGCTCAAAATGAAGCACGTCTAGATTTCCTCAGGTTCAGGGACCCACAGGGTCGGGTTACAAAGTTGTTGGACCAGCACCTTGACCAGTGGTCAGGATTCGCTGCTAACTTTTCATCTGTCAACTCATAACTGGCAAGCACAGGGTAACTATTAAAGTAAGTGAGTTTAGGGCCTGTTCCTGTGTATACGGCAAGGGAGGCAGTCAACTCTCTTCAACAGCTCTAACATCTGTTGTCAAGTTACTGCTATAATAAGGGCTCTTTATGTATTTTATTTAGCAATATTAGTATTTCAGTGCCTAATTTTCGGTCTGCGACCCTAACTTATTCAATCCCTCATGGCACCAATATAAACGTCCATTCTGACTATGTCATTACGTCGTTGCAGTTTTAACACTCACTGTTTGTATCTAAACACTCTGAATCGATAATGTCTCTGGTGCTCCTTTTAAATTTAAAAGGAATTATTTGTTTCTATATCAAATCATATAAAAAGAGAGACTACGTGGGGTAACCTAGTTCAATGTGTGAAGCTCATTCCTGGTGTCCCCTGCGATGATATTGCTGGATTACCGGTAAAAATGGCGAAAAACGGTTAGTCTGTGTGGAGTTACACCCCTCCAGCATGCCAAAAACTTGGTGTATTCAAATCCTTGTTTGGGGCGATGGGGATAGCCTAATGGTTTAAGCTTCCACTCGTCACGTTGAAGACCCGGGTTCGATTCCCACATGGGTACATTGTGAGAACCCCATTTCCGCCGTTATATAGCTAAAGGCGACGTAAAAACATACTCACTCACTCACTGTTTGCCTCTATGGGGTTTTGTCCACACCCGCATTTGTCACCTGAGTTGTCATCACACAATCAGCGTCCCCTCTATGCTGTGATGTACGAGGGTTTATGGACAAGGTCGGAGTCGCTGTCCTCCAGTTCGTCCCATTTCAGACCCCCTGCTAAAATTACCCACTCCCTCTGTGGATACACCTGCAAAACAAGATTTCACTATTACGCAATTCTTCCTGTGTGGCGCTCAGAAATTGTCAATCAACCCTAGCAACCAAGATGCTATAAAAGCGTCCTGAAACCCAACTCATTCAACCCGACCCGTAAGATGTGTGCAGCGAGGCGGTAGCCCAACCTGCAGTCTACCCACCACGGTTGACTGAACATGTCTGTCCCGTACGTCTGCTCAGTGTGAGCAGACGATATTCAGGTCATTGTCGTCTGGTCGTCCACTGGCAGCCATATATATATATCCTTCACAAATCACGGAAATACAGTCGTGAGGGTAAGTAAACTCCAGCATTACGCTATTCTGATGGCCATGAGTGACCAGGGCACATCAGTAATACATATGTACGCTTGTAGTTGGTAGAACTGATTTATGGGAGCAATTCGCCAGTGTGAGTTCATTACTGCGTTGAGGTCACGTTCACTCCTTCAGAATTCTCACTGTTGGTTTCGTGTAAACAAGACGTGTTACTGGTGCGCCTTTCCCAGAATGCATAGCTGCTAACAAGTAATGTTCTCCTAATTCTAAAATCTGAACCCTTTTACAACTTGTTTGGTGGAGTAAAGTCTCACACGTCCTTGACGTTTCTTCAAAGTAGGTCAAGCCCCGAGCCCCGTGTAGACAGGTGTGTTGTTTGTTAGCCGTGCAGATAGTTGATACTGTTAGGCTCGGCCCGAGGTGTACCCCAACCTGTTGTTTTAGTGTTCGGGGGCCTGTTGCTGAATATTTGTAGGGTTATCTTCAAGCAGTTGAAGTACTTGTGTGATTGTATGGGAAATATGTCACCAACCATGTCACGGTTGTTTTGTTATACTCGCTCACATATGTAATTTTCGACTGAATAAATGGATTGTAATCTTCAATGGCGACGGAGTTGCGCACTCCTTCGGAATGGAAGAAATGGGCTTCATACAATATACTCTCGTGTGGAGTCAAACCCAGGTCTTCGGCGTGAAGACCACCGGGCTACCCTACCGCCTCATCTTCACTTAAATACTATGGAAGATCTTATCTTTTTTTCTTATCTTCATGATCTTATCTTCATGATCTTATCCTCTGTTCAGTCGGGGTCACGATGGTTCCAACTCGTTCCCCGTGTGAAAGTGTGAAAACATCCGGTCCGCCATTGTCGCAACTGAAGACTTTTTGAAACCGGGTTGTTTGTGGGATACATGTTGTACTGGCTGAATTCCTTACAACCTATTGGGTTTAACTGAATTCCTGGAATACAGGGGTGGATACAGATTTTTGAGACAAGTCTGGCGGGGTGCACAGTTTCCACAACTTTCAGGGAGAAAGGGGTGTATCTCTCTCTCTACACTCTCTCTCTCTCTCTCTCTCTCTCTCTCTCTCTCTCTCTCTCTCTCTCTCTCTCTCTCTCTCTCTCTCTCTCTCTCTCTCTCTCTCTCTCTCTCGTGTGTGTGTGTGTGTGTGTGTGTGTGTGTGTGTGTGTCCGTGTGTGTCCGTGTGTGTCCGTGTGTGTCCGTGATGTTCAACAGAGCATTTGCGTCCTGCGTGCACAAAATGTGCACCCCCTGAAGTACAGATCGCCCACTTTCGGGTAGACGATTTATGACACAGGTCTTGAAACATGTCACCGCTACCCGGCATCCAGTGTGACGTACAAGTGTGTGTCACAACACAAGTGGATGTACTGGCAGGTGGAAGAGTGTAGTCAAGTGGAGACAACTCTCTGCATTTAGCCAACAACACGACAGCGAGACAAACAAGTGGAATATCTTACCAGTTTATTGCCGCATTTCTTCTGCTACTTCCACACTGTACAACCTCATTGACATGAAACCTGTTTACATTCTTAACCAAACTCTACCAGTTATGTGCAGTCCCATCTTCCAAAGGCAAGGGAGTTAACTCCCTGTTCAGTGGACTTAGATAGTCAATTACTTCCCTTGCCTAGGTATGTTGGTTTTATCCTTCTCAAAATCAATATTATACTTCTGATATCTCTTGATAAAAGCGAAGAGAATGATTTTCGTGATAATTTAACCCTGACACAACGCAATAACCAGTTGAAGTGCAAACACGATGTACCCCACCTGCGGTAACCATATGGTCCCTTTAAACCATTTGGATACTCACTGACTGCTAATCAGGGCTTCCTAATACATCCCGGTGCACATCTGGGCCCCGTTTCACAAAGCGATCGTAGCGCTAAGGTGATCGTAACACCCATACTTTAACATAGACTTACGACAGTCGTAGCACTAAGATGATCGTAACTCCCATACTTTAACATAGATTTACGACAGTCGTAGCACTAAGGTGATCGTAACACCCATACTTTAACATAGACTTACGACTGTCGTAGCACTAAGGTGATCGTAACTCCCATACTTTAACATAGACTTACGACTGTCGTAGCACTAAGGTGATCGTAACTCCCATACTTTAACATAGACTTACGACATTTAACATAGACTTACGACAGTCGTAGCACTAAGATGATCGTAACTCCCATACTCTAACATAGACTTACGACAGTCGTAGCACTAAGGTGATCGTAACACCCATACTTTAACATAGACTTACGACTGTCGTAGCACTTAGATGATGGTAACTCCCATACTTTAACATAGACTTACGACAGTCGTAGCACTAAGGTGATCGTAACTCCCATACTTTAACATAGACTTACGACAGTCGTAGCACTAAGATGATGGTAACTCCCATACTTTAACATAGACTTACGACTGTCGTAGCACTAAGATGATGGTAACTCCCATACTTTAACATAGACTTACGACAGTCGTAGCACTAAGGTGATCGTAACTCCCATACTTTAACATAGACTTACGACAGTCGTAGCACTAAGGTGATCGTAACTCCCATACTTTAACATAGACTTACGACAGTCGTAGCACTAAGGTGATCGTAACTCCCATACTTTAACATAGACTTACGACAGTCGTAGCACTAAGGTGATCGTAATTCCCATACTTTAACATGGACTTACGACAGTCGTAGCGCTACGATCGTTTTGTGAAACGGGGCCCTGGTCGCTTTTTTGTGCTACAGCAAAGTGCATGCGCCGTGATTTAACGACAAAAGATTCACAACTACAGACATCTGCCTTCAAAGTCAGAGAACTAGTAATTCAGTTCAAGCAAGTTATTATGTATTTATGGAATCACCTTATTTAAAGATATTTGGCTGAGCGCAATGGAGGATAGCAAATCTTGACCGGTCCAGTTTCCAACTCGATAAAGAAATTTATTGTTGCAAGGTGTTAAATATCTGCAGAGCTGTGTCGCGACAGTATCAGATTTGTACATAGGGAGCAGCGTAGAGGATGGGTTACCTTTCAGTAGCCAGAAGTAGCGGGCTAGGGAGATTGTTAGGTCTTCAGATAAAGGGGAATAACGCCCCAGATCCCAGGGCATTCGCCACCTCTCGCCCCCTTTCCGTAACCTGCCAGAATACTCGTCCCGCTACCCATGAAAGTTATGTGCGAAAACAAGACAAACCAGTCAGAATGCACGTATGGCTTTAACTGTCTTTCGATACAAAGCAAAGCAGTACTCAAGTACTGTCCATGAAATATCACAAAATTGACTTACCGGTTCATGATGACGTGAAGCCATAGTATAAAATGTATGCCATGAAGACTCACTGCAAAAGGTATTGATATAGACAGTTTACAAAACATGCAAACATACAGCAGATGTCAAATCGACACTGAACAAATAAATTTGGAAAACAAATAGATAGTCAAGTAATATACAATCCCGTAAACAAATGTACATGCACGGGGTCTATTAACAAATTCAGCTCATACAAATGAGCGATGTACAAAATGACCATACATATCTCTCTCGACTTTTGAAAAAAACAACACAAACTGCTTAAATCAATTTAAATACTCGGGAGTATTTGAATCAAAGTACCTCAGTCCATTTTGGGGGTTATTTTTCTATTTAGTCGCATGACATCCCTAAAGAGTGTTGAGGATCTGGAATTGTTAGTCACATATGCCCAGTGAGTGTGGCAGAAGGGGTCGTTGTCGGCACGGGTACTACAGATCTGTACCCCAGGTACGTTTCTGTATACAGAAAAGTACCCTAGCCAAAATCGGAATACAGAAACGTACCCTTGGACGATTCCATTCCCCAGTGTGTTGTTTTCTTGATTGGAACTGTCATACAGTTGAATTAGATGCATTTGATTGCGTTCTATAAGAAACGACCATACACGGTAACGAATATTTCGCGGAGCACAATGCCATTTGCAATCAGTTGAACAGGAACAACTACATACAGTTTCAGTTTTGGGTTGCGAAATATGGACTCATCGTCCGAGTAAGGTGCCGGGTACGTTTCTGTATTTTGATATTGTTTAGGGTACATTACTGGGGCAGTAACCTGTACTGACAACGGACCCCATCAGAAACGTATGTGGTGTGGTGTTTGGGTATCTGTAGTACCTGAGACAACGAGCCCATCAGCGTGACTGTGCGGTGTGGTGTTTGGGTGAGTGTAGTATCTTATGAACAAACCGAGGTTGAATTGTTGTTACAGACTACGAGAACAACGATGGAGACACCCGAGAAGCAGTACTACGCCGACGACGAGGCAGTCCTGACGCCAACGGACAAACTGAAGTTCGGCATTCCTCATCGGCTTCCCAGTCACCATGTTCATTTTGACTATCATCCTCATGGCGGCATACAACTAGGTCAAGGTCAAATATATGATGGAGGTCAGCATATGATTTATTCTCTAGCGGCTTCCCAGTCACCATGTTCATTTTGACTATCATCCTCATGGCGGCATACAACTAGGTCAAGGTCAAATATATGATGAAGGTCAGCATATGATTTATTCTGGTGGCAGCGGCTAGTAAGGGTTAGAACTGGTTCCCAGAAACCCATGTTGATAGAGGCGACCTAATGGACCCGCTGGTCAGGCTGGATGACTTGGGTGGTAGAGTGACGTCATACTCCGAAGTCATTCACCGGGTTGTCTGGTCAAGATTCCATTACTTAGATATTGTCATTAATTATACAATTGCTGTATTCAGCGTTAAAGCACAAAAATATAGTAAGATCCCTTCAATAAAGAAATGCATGATTCATTAAACTGGCAGTTGCCGTTTTTATATTTCACATTTGAATAATTGTGTTTCAGACCAATTACTCAGACAATAGGCGCCTTAAGCAACACCACAACCGCAGCAACAAAACGTCAACAACAACAGCACATCCATAGCAGTCACATCAACAACTGCAGCAGCATCTGACCGTTCTTTCGACAGGAATCCATGGAGACCGTGCAATAATTATTTCAATGTTCATTAAATGTTTGTCTTTCAACAATTATGTGTGACGTTTATCCCATGATGTATCAGGCCTCGGAGAATTTCCGTCATGGGTTGACTAAATATTTACAGTTAATATATTTTTTACACATTTTCAAATAAAAATTATGTGAAAAAAATAATAATAGCAGCGCGTGTTTTGATTTGATGTATGATTGAGTGAATGAGTTTAGTTTTACGCCGCACTCAGCAATATTCCAGCTATATGGCGACGGTCTGTAAATAATCGAGTCTGGACCAGACAATCCAGTGATCAACAGCATCAGCATCGATCTGCGCAAGTGGGAACCGATGACATGTGGCAACCAAGTCAGTGAGCCTGACCACCCGATCCCGTTAGTCGCCTCTTACGACAAGTATGGGTTACTGAAGATCAATATTCTAACCCGGACCTTCACGGGTAGATTTGATGCATGAGTAGAGACAATTATCACAAACATAATTAATGACATGGAATCATCACCTTCACGGGTAGATTCTCCACCCTCCTCCACAGTTCATGCTGACGGTATCTTGTTCGATTAAACGTGTGTTTCTTTAGCATTGCTTATTAAGGGCGTATCTTGTAAAATATGTGACTGGTATCAACACCATGACGTACAGTTTCGACAGCAGTTTAAGTATAACTTATACAAGTCCGCTCACTACGTCAGTTTAACTGTTCGTCTGTTATAGAATACGGTGTGTTGTAGTGAGTGAGTTTAGTTTTACGCCGTTTTTTAGCAATATTCCAGCAATATCACGGCGGGGAACACCAGAAATGGGCTTCACACATTGTGGGGAATCGAACCCGGGTCTTCGGCGTGACGAGCGAACGCTTTAACCATTAGGCTACCCCACCGCCCGGGTGTGTTTTAGGTAGGGCTGGGACGGATACTCGGGTACAGCTGGAATCGAGTCATATTTCAAGGTATCGGGTATCCGGAAAGGGAGAGAACTCTGTAATGACAAGGGCAGGTAACTCTAGCTGAGAGCAATATGGACGACGCGCAAGCAAAGTTGAGTGTTTGGGCTCATTTTGAGCTTGATGGAAATGGCAAGAAAACCAAATGCCGACTCTGTGGTACCATGCCAATCTACTGCGGAAGCAGTACAAGACAAACATCTTGCACTAAACCACAACGTAAAACACTAACATGTTCATTACATTGTGTAACTGTGTTCATTGCTTATCAAGTCAGTTCATTAAAAGCGTTTAAGATTACATTGAATTTTGTCTTTAGTTTCTATTTTATTTCAATTTCAGGAAACACAGCTTTTACATTTGTGTCAAACCTGAATACACTGACTATTAAAGAGACTGCAATTAAATGATTGTGTGTGTTGGGATGCAAATTTAGAATATTGATCTAATAATAATTGTTTTTGTTAATTTAAACGTGATAATATAGCATGTAGATACATTTCTTTATCCCTACATTCAAACAAAAGCATTTCAGTGCGACATTTATCTTCTGGAAGGATAAAAATTAAATCACCTTAAATATTTCATATACGGCCAATGAGTTATTCACGGCTCTGTATTAGTCCGTACACTGTAATGTATGATAGGCAAACCTTCATGCAACTGAGTTGCGCAACAGAGCAAAATGACCAGTCTTCATAGATACGAGCCCAGCATGTTCTATGTTGCCAACTCACTTGCATTAAAGTTTGCCAGTCTGTATATCTCGTATAGAATTCTCCAGTCAGTAACTATATCAATCTAGCTGTCTACTTGATGAATGAATAACTGGTCTTTTTCATTTTTAACGTAACACATATTTTTGGTATTGTCCGGTTAATGGAGGTTATTATAAGCGACGGTAATTTATCTGCGCATAAGCAGTGAGTAGTCAAGTCACAGTAAAGCGGGAATGAAAAGTGTTTTAAAAGTTCTGTGTTTTAAGTAGCAATGTAAGTAATGGTGTTTTATCTTTATATTGGTTATAAACACACTTAAGTCAGATAGCCTAAGATCAGTTTCAATGACTCATTGCCATTCTTTCAGGTTTTCTATATAATCTCTGTCAAATCGTGATTGAATATTCAGAAAGCTGACAGAAGTTATGTATTCCTAACATTTCCGGGTACTCGATTCGGGTAAGTACGTGCGGGTACTCGATTCCATCTTTTCCTACCCGCCCCAGCCCTAGTTTTAGGCCAGTGGTTAAAACTAGTGAATGTTTTTGTCTGAAAGGATTCGTTGAATGAGTGTGCGCTATATACAGGATCCGCTGACTGAGTGTTCGCTTTGTACAGGATCCGTTGAATGAATGTTCCCTATATACAGGATCCGCTGACTGAGGGTTCGCTATATACAGGATCCGCTGAATGAGTGTTCGCTATATACAAGAACCGTTGACTGAGTGTTCGCTATATACAGGATCCGCTGAATGAGTGTTCGCTATATACAAGATCCGTTGACTGAGTGTTCGCTATATACAGGATCCGCTGAATGAGTGTTCGCTATATACAAGAACCGTTGAATGAGTGTTCGCTATATACAGGATCCGCTGAATGAGTGTTCGCTATATACAGGATCCGCTGAATGACTGTTCGCTATATACAGGATCCGTTGAATGAGTGTTTTCTACATGCAGTATCCGTTGAGTGTTCGCTAGAGTGGTCACCCGGGGACTCGCCTGGTCATAGAAATACAAACAACCCCCCACTCCACAGTTATATACTCATGGAAACAAACATGGCAACACATGAAAGTACAACTGTTCCTTTAGTCCTTTCCAGGTTTCTTCAGAAGGTATGCATTGCACTGTGAGTGAAATTCTGGAAATAAACACTTCATGTGTTCCCTTATTCGTTTCTATGAGTATGTAATTGTGTCTTCAACTCAGAGAAGAGGACAGATATGTGGTTTGTCATAAGTCGACAGGACACGCCTAATCATAAAAATATATAAATCCCTCAATATGAAAATTATAATTGGGTCTTCAGCTCTGTCCGAATCACTCCCAGTAAAATATTTGTGGTTTGTCCGATAACATTGACGGAATACATTTTGTTTCCACGCTAAAAACTGTTTTCTTCGGCCATCGCAGTGTACATGCGACTGGCGACACAGTGATATTAAAAATATATTATAGTGTTCATGATGCTTGTACAGTAACCTTTGCAAAATGCTTTAACAAAATCACATACAATTTTGATGATTTCAATGGGACAAAAATAACAGTTCTTAGAAAGGGCTCATAATGGGTTTGTAATTATTGATCAACATACATGGCAATAGCTATCTGATATTTATGCCGATACGATATAGCAGGTGACATGCGGCATGAATACCGGTATGATATAGTACTCTAACGGGCATCCATAACAACAGTACGATAAGTACTGTGACTCACGTAAAACACAGATACAAGTACTGTGACTCACGTAAAACACAGATACAAGTACTGTGACTCGCGTAAAACACAAACACAAGTACTGTGACTCACGTAAAACACAGATACAAGTACTGTGACTCGCGTAAAACACAAATACAAGTACTGTGACTCACGTAAAACACAGATACAAGTACTGTGACTCACGTAAAACACAGATACAAGTAATGTGACTCACGTAAAACACAGATACAAGTACTGTGACTCGTACTGTGACTCACGTAAAACACAGATACAAGTACTGTGACTCACGTAAAACACAGATACAAGTACTGTGACTCGCGTAAAACACAAACACAAGTACTGTGACTCACGTAAGACACAGATTCAAGTACTGTGACTCGCGTAAAACACAAACACAAGTACTGTGACTCACGTAAAACACAGATGCAAGTACTGTGACTCACGTAAAACAGATACAAGTACTGTGACTCACGTAAAACACAGCTACAAGTACTGTGACTCACGTAAAACACAGCTACAAGTACTGTGACTCACGTAAAACACAGATACAAGTACTGAGACTTGTTTGCATGAATACCGGTATGAGATTCGATAATTTTATTTACGTCGACCAAACCTTACCAAAGCTCACAATAAACAACTTTTAAGTATATTGTAATAGGCGCGTGGTGTGTGTTGAACAGGCGCCCAGTGACAGCAGAACTAAATAGATAAATGACAAGTGTCAGATGGATACTGAATGTGGATGCTTTGCGTTGTGTTCTCGGTCTCTTAGTTTGTGTGGTCAGTATATCTTGCCTACTAGTTCTGTATTAAAACGGTTCCTGGTGGGTTCTTCCAATTCCTTCTATTATATATTCACAGTTGTTTTACAAATTGCCTGGAGTAATCAAATCTGTATCAGACAAAGCTCTGATCGATAGTTGTAGCAGTCAATCAGAACACATTCTGGCCATTGTCGAACCAGGATAACCGGATTCCGGGATTACTAAGGGAGGTAACTCTCAATTCAGAGTTGTTGGAACTCACAGTTCCATTCGTGCTATCAAGATACAATGTACCATGTTTACTTTTGTCGTCATATACTGTAAACAATAAAGCGAACAGAAGAATGGGGACAATTGTTATGGCTGTACAACCTTTATTCTGCATTTAAGCGACGTTTCGACATAGTTGTATATGTCGAAACGTCGCTTATACAGAATAAAGAAGTTGTATATCCCTAAAAATTGTCCTCATTCTTCATCTCCTCAACTTCTAAATGCAAATCAAAGATGTAAAGCGAACACGCTAAAACGAACTAACGGAAATTAGGAACTGTTTGTCTGGTAATGTTGACTTGCTGTTTATTTTAGTCAAAAACGTTATAAAGAACTACGGGTATAACGAGCTAAAATCTCTGGTCCCATTGTGTTCGTTAAAATCGTAGTAAAATGTAACACACAAAGTTACGTCAAGCAGAGTTCAACACTTGTACAGAGTCTCCAGTTCGAATAAATCTGATAAAACCGATATGTGTTGGCTAGATGATGTGATTTGATGTCGACCGTGAGTTCTTTCAATGGTATGGATCGAGCGTGACGCTTGGTTCAGCGTTCACTTTGTTTTTTGGAGCCATCATTAGGAGTAACTCCCTCCTGAATCGCGGTCCTGTGAGACAGTAGAGAAAGAAGTGGGCGGCATTGTTCGTGTACTGCAACAGATTAACCACACACCACCACAAATGGAGCTGAGCCTCGGTCTGGGCGTCGGGCGTCTCGCGCCATGTTCCGAACCCGATCATGTACACAACAATCGGTGACGTCAGCAGCAAGAACAGACAGTTGACCGATAGCAACATCAAGGTGAGGTGCGACGTTTTCTGAGAGGCTGACTTGACTTTTGTGTTGCTGTTGTTCGACTGCGTGCTTATTACGCTGATCTTCGGACGTGTTGATTGGCCAGGCGGAGTAAGGATGTTTCGTTCCTTCTGATTGGTTGATTTCAGTTCATGTCGGTACCTCTCACTCTCGGAAACGGTGTGGCGACGGATCTTGTCGGCAGAGATTGCGAGTTTCCTTATGATTATCCCATTGCAGGTGATCATGATCGAAAACGGGACAAAACATACGATGAACAAGTCAATCCATGGCCAGATGACAGTTACAAATTGTTTCATATCATCGTTAGCGGCATCACAATCTACCCCATCCCCGAATATCGTACGAGGACTGAGGCCATACGACCAGGCAAAGTGAATGTTTATTACCATCAAGAAAGCCAACATGGCGGCGGCGGTTATTCTCGCCCTCCGCAGAGTACAGTACTTCCGGGCTTTGAAAGGTGCGCATACGAACAGACACCTATCAACGGTAAGTGCAACCAGTATCCAAGCTCCGAAATCTAGAGACACATACACAAGAAAAATATGGAACTTACAAGAAAATTCCGAATATAGGCGAAGATCTTCGTCAAATGTGTAATTTATCCAGTAACGCAGTAACCCAGTATACAACACGAAGACGTCAGTGACTGCCAACACGGCCAAGTAAAACATCGTCGTCGACGATCGCATCCGTTTGCGGCATAAAACAATGACAGACAGCAAGCTTCCGATGGTGCCAATGAGAATGAGGAGCGGAGATATCGCCTTCCACATGAAGACACCAGCCTGGTATTCAGGAAAGTCCTTATACGTCAGCTCGGTAATGTTCATAGCCATGGGGCCACTTGGAGGCTGAAGACGGAATCTGATCATGGTGAAATCACGGGATCCGTAGCACCGATGGTAATGGCAGACTGAGATTCCTCTTTGTAGACTGTCTCTAACCTGCATACAGATATATGACTGATTCAAACAATGAGGCGAACGTAGCGTTCGTGTTAATCTCAACAAATGCTATTGTTTGCTGTTAAACGCCAAGACCACCTCCAGCACTGGCTAGATATGACCACAACCACATACAAAATCAGGACTAGATTAAGATCAAACCAGAGATTAAGATAAGAATCGGTTAATAGCAAACTTAATAATTTATTTGGATTCCCTGTGGTGACAATGCCAAAACCAGTTGATAACAATGTCACATTAGTAAAATGACCAATTGTAAATCACCAGTATCTAAGGGACAACGGACATCAGTATGGACAAGTTGTCAAGGAGTTTTCCTATACGGTCATGGGTTCGAATCTCATATTTGTACTGACTATGATCCTTGGTTTGTCTGCACCACCAGAATCATTTCGAGCCTGGCCCCCAAAATCTATAGGGGCGGGCAGGTAGACTAGTGGTTACAGCGTTCGCTCGTCACGATAAAGACCGATTCCAAATGTTGGACTCCTCACAATGGTACGATGTGTGAAGCCCAGTTCCGGTGTCCCCCCGCGGTGATGCTGCTGGAATAATGCTTTTCACTCACTCACTCATTGGAATTACATGACACTCAGCTCATGACGACATTTATAGGGAGTGGCATATACACGTAGGTGTCCTACCTTCACCAAACGAGTTTTAAACGTTTTCAGTGTTGTACCTTGAACACGAAATATGTTGAATTGTGCGTTTTTCCGAGTGTTTGTTATCATGATCAACGCAGCACCCAGACCAGACAATCCAGTGATTGACGGTATGTGTGACCTATAAGGTGTTGAAACTTGTCACATTATGATGCTACCAGTCTGTGCAGTAGGCATAATAGTCACAAATGCTTTTTCATTTCTTATGTCAAATTGACCTCTGAAATTTGCATATTAGTAAAACTGGGAGATTCAAGGATGTCATTGATAAAATTCATAAATGTATTTTTGAATGACTAGATTCAAAGCGGTTGAGACTAGTTTACTTTAAGAATGAAGGTGAAGATCGTACTTACGTAGTTTTATTTCACAAGTGCAGCATTTCGTGCTCATTTTCCGTGATGGAACTACGAGACCGCCACGAACGTTGATCGTACACGCCCGTATACCGTAATTCTTGAAGTCCAGCCAGCCTGTGTGATCCGAGTCGCTATCGACAATATATGGTATTGGACAGATGGTGACAACATAAAAATAACGATAACTTTAATGACTCACAATGAGGCCGTTGTTGACGCTGTTCCGTCAGTTGTTCACAACCCAAAATGTCGTCAAGCCTTCCTAGACAAGTTTGTACATAAGATGTACAGAAGTTCTTTTTGTTTACTGAAGGTACTGTTGAAGGAAAAGGGATAACAGAATGTAGCTATTTTGGTAAGTGTTGAAGATCGCGAATCTAGGTGACGTTCACGGGGGTAAGAAGTAACAGCGCCATTAAGTTTTCAGGTGATGTCGTAAAATGTGAAGTACAATTTCTGGTACTCGACATGTCGTAAATCAGAACGTTGGTCAGAAATCAAATCTCAGTTCATAACGACAATCTGTAATAAAAGGGAACCTGAGGCAGGTGTATCCTCGTTCTACAAGAGTGGCGACGTCGCGTTGAGGTTTTATGACGCAATAGCCAAATGTTTACAACGTTCAAGAACTAAACTATGTGAAACATGGCGGGCCTGAATGGTGCACGGAATACGGCATGTCGTAAAGCCCGAGTCAAGATGTCGTAAAGATACGCGTCAAGTTGTGTTTAATGTGTTGTCGCCAATAACAATAACATGATCATGTTGTTTTATACTTATGACAGCCATAAATAAGAGGGACCAGAATTTCATAGTAATCTTGAAAAATAGAATCAATAAAACCCTCTCAATTATCGTAAGAAATATCATCAAAAAAACAATTGTTGACTTCTTTGGGGCTTTTGTTTTCACATTTGGTCTAGTTTCATCTCTATACTAGCCACACAAGCCAAGAAGTCCTGTATCTTGGAACCCTATCCACTAAACGTCCGTGGCACTGTGCCATTCACGCTTATGGTAAAGTATAGAGTTGTCGATAGGGGACCCTGGATCTTTCGTAACATACAATGTATATTCTACTTAGGGCTGCACTTTCTCAGTAAAGTGCAGATCCGGACTCACACTGGCAGATTGAGGCACGTGATCGTCAGCCATCTAACCCACTCAGCCACCGCAGGTATCCATATAAATGGAAGTCGGACAACTTGTAGTTCAGGGCCTAGATTTTCGAAGCTTTCTTAGAGCTAAGATAGTCGTAAGTTAATGTTAATGTATGGCACTTACGACAATCTTAGCGCTAAGAGAGCTTCGAAAATCTAGGCCCTCATCACGTACTCTGTGTACCCCTCTGACGAGTGTAATCTTGATCTTGACCAAATACTTAATCACCTGCAGTATGTCTTCACCAGCCTCACCCGTATGCTACTAGGCTAGCAAAGAGGATCCTCCCAACAAATACGTCCTTATACAAGTGATGTGTCAGATTACTTGCGATTGTGATGACACGTACACTGATCTTCCTCGATTCTAGGAAGTGAAACTACAACAGTCAGTTTTGTTCAACCGTTTAATCATCTCTGTATTGTTGTTGTTCTCCTCCACTTTCGGTTTCATCTGTTTGTTGTGCCGGTCGTTCTCAGTAATATTCCACTATATGTAAATAATTGAGTTTGCACCAGACAATCCAGTGATTGGCATCATGATCATCGATCTCCTCTATTAGGATACGATGACATATGTCAACCAAGTCAGCAAGTCTGAACGCTCAATCCTGTTAGTCGCCTTTTACGACAGGCATGGGTTGCTGAAGACCTATTCTAACCCGGATCTTCATGGGTCCAGCTATTTATATGCTACTTGGTATCAACTGCCTGTTATCTTCTGCTTATCTCCAAGCATCATGTATATAAACCACTAACTACATAGCGTTAGTCACTCCAGCGTGATAACGGTATATAAATCTACATCGACACGCAATGTACCGGAAGTTATGGTCTATAAAGTTGTGTTTTCCTACTCAGAGCTCCAGATAATTATTTTGACTATTAAAATTGAGGATTAAAATACCAAATGGAAATAGGAGGAGTATTTCACAGGTTGCATGGTTTTATTACTTTTCCTTGCTAGTTGAAACAGTTTTCCTTTTAAACAAACTCGACGAATTTCTTTTGGTTAGTCATTCTTACTGCAGACGACAGGAAATATATGACAGTGCGCGTTTAGCTTTTGCGCATTAAATGTTTCCATACGCTAGTTAATGGCCACCACGTAATCTACAGTAGCCCTAAAGCTGTATTATTACTGATATCGACCGGAAACGTTGTGACAGTAACGTTGTTTACGAGCTAGCTTTTCAATAAATCGTGCCCCTAACGTGGATTAGAAATAATCAGGGAGACCATTCGCAAAAACCGCCAATCTTCGCTTCAATACAGACAATCAATACTATTCGAGATCTTAAGATCGAATGTGTAGGACTGAAACAATATTTGACAGGTTTGGTTCACGCATGTAAACAAAATCTGACTCGTATTCTTAGAAAGTTGTGCGTATCTTTCACTCATTGATTTGACTTTGTATGCGTATATCTGAATTATCCATGCGTAATTTACGCAGATACGCATGTTTATCTGGAGCCCTGGAGTTCTTACTCTATAATGCCAGTCAAACATACACAATAGATGTTCGTTGTTCTTCATGAAAACTTCACGCCAACCTGATTGAGCATAAGAAGGGGGCGGTGGGGTAGCCTAGTGGTTAAAGCGTTGGCTCGTCACGCCGAAGACCCGGGTTCGAATCCCCACATGGGTACGATGTGTGAAGCCCATTTCTGGTGTCCCCCGCCGTGATGTTGCTGGAATATTGCTGAAAGCGGCGTAAAACCAAACTCAGTCAGTCAGTCAGAGCATAAGAATGGTCGTTCAAAATTGGACTGTATAGGGAAGTCTAAATTTCAGAGTCAGTATGTCGATATCTGATCCATTCATAGTGTGGAGGGCTGTTGGTAACCTAGTGGCTAAAGCGTTCGCGCGTCACGCCGAAGACCCGAGTTCGATTCCCCACATGGTGCAATGTGTGAAGCCCATTACTGGTGTCCCCCGCCGAGATATTGCTGGAATATTGTTAAAAGCGGCGTAAAACCATTCTCACTCACTCACAGTATATTCACCGAATCATTGGGCTCTAGAATGCACGTATCCTTCATTTACACTAGGCGTTCATTAAACATAAAACATCGCTACATGCCCCTCCTAGAACGTGTTCTTTTATTATGAAAATGCCTTTATCACAGCAAGGTTTTGAAGCGCCTTCCAATCCACTAATGTGTATCGTGTAGGGGAGACAACTCTGTCAGTCTGTTGTGGAGTGCGTGATTGACAGGTCAGTGTGAAGCATTCCTGGGCGATAAGAGATGGGGAAAACGTGCAGCTGTGTGGAACCGACACTGCCGAGTTACGAACTTCACACACCGCTGCTTGAAGCCGAGAACTTCTACATCATAAAGCGACGTTCATAAAACAGGCCATAAACGATAAAGTGAAAATGCTTTAATATACCGGCCACATCCCATTTAAAGGCTATTTATATGGCGAGTGAAGGGTTTGTTGAAGTAGTTAGTAGTAGTAGTAGTAGTAATGGTAGTAGTGGTAGTGGTATGAGGAGTAGTTATAGTGGCGGTATTAGTTGTAGTGGTGGTAGGAGTAGATAAATAGTAGTAGTGAGTGAGTTAAAATGTTACGTCACATGAGGAGCATTATAGTTCATAGTTGTAGTGGTGGTAGGAGTAGATAAATAGTAGTAGTGAAGTTAAAATGTTACGCAAGGGCATTATTTCATCCATATGTGATGAATGAAGACGCCAGTCATCGCTAGGCAGTAAATTAACTAGAATATCACAGATCAGTAAGTAGTAGTGGTGGCAGTAGTAGTAGTAGTAGTAGTAGTAGCAATAGTAGTAGTAGTAGTAGTGAGAGGTAGTGAGTAGTAGTCGTAATACTTATTAGCAGTGGCAGTGAGTAGTGAGTGTAGCAGTAGTAGAAGCAGCAGTAGTACTAGTGGTGGCGGTGGTAGCAATGGTGGCAGTAGTAGTAGTAGTAGTAATACTTATTAGTAGTGGTGGTAGTAGAGCAGCAGTAGTAATGGTGGTAGTAGTAGCAGCAGCAGCAGTGGTGGTAGTATGCAGTGAGTGGTGGTGGTAAAAAGTAGTAGTAGTAGTAGTAGCAGCAGTGAAGTGGTGGTAGTACGAATGGTAAGCAGGTAGTACCAGCAGTAGTAGTGTACCCTCTGAGAGGTGGTGGTGATGGTAGTAACAGAAGTAATGGTGGTAAAGCACAGTAGTGGGAGAGGTAAAGCACAAGTACAAGTACAAGGTGACGTTGTGGTTGTAGATGAGGTTGCAGATGCAGTGGAAGATGTCAATACATCCATTTTATTCCGACCTGAGTCACATGAACTTGAATATCACGACCAAAGTGATTTACTTAAACCACAATTACTATCACTACCTGATGATGCACCTCCACGTCCTGCGTCTCTCAATGTGCTGCAAACAGAACGCATCTCTTTGAATTCTTCAGGGATGTTTCTGCAGTATGTTGATCCATTCCACTGTTGACGTCTACCGATCTTGTTACCGGAGACAAGTAAATCTCAAGCTGTTTACCACGTGACCTCTCAACCTATGACGTCAGATAACGCGAGAAGACGCTTGAGATCTCCCGCATCAGCGCTCAACGTGAGCTTCCGACTTAAACGCCCATATCAGTGTTCCAAATTTCTTTAGTCTTTTGCCACAGAATTTTTATTCATAAGGTCGTGTAAACATGTTATAATTAATTTATTAAGTGTTTACTTTTCTTTTGTTTCACTTTTGTTTTCATGGCGGGCATGAAGGTGAATATCTGAAAGTTTCACTTTGCGCTTATACCGTGTGAAAATATTTCCTTAGCTATTGCAAACATGGCAGATTTGTTTCTTCCACAGACTTCAATACGAAGTTCAGCTTCTCCCTTTGGGATTTCGGGTTAGAATATCAACCTACAACCTAAACAAACTTGTGGCCTAATGAGTGAGTTAGGGAGAGTGAATCTATATGGTGTTATGCCGCTTTTAACAATAATCCAGCAATATCACAGCAGGGGACACCAGAAATGGACTTCACACATTGTACCCATGTGGGGAATCGAACCCGGGACTGCGTCGTGACGAGCGAACACTTTAACCACTGGGCTACCCCACCGCCTCTTTTTCATAATGAGTTCACAGCATGTCAGCGTACCCGACGGCGGCGGTCGTTGATAGCAATATGGATCACTGGATTGTGCGGTCCAGACACTATTATTTACTCGCCGCTGTCACATAGCTTGAACATTTGCTGTACATAACAAACAAACACGGACAACAGGATGAGTCAAGATGCGGAGCTACAAACAACCCCAGGCACTGAAGCCAAATATACAGAGATGATAAAGGTTGAACAAAGTAAGCTGTTGTAGTCCATGT